GGTATAGTATACTAGTCCCTTCAATATTTTACTACATCTGCATGCAGCAAGGAAGAATCAGGGGGAATTTCTAAATGTATGGGCCTTCCAGTTAACAGTTCATAAGAGAATAATCAATGTGTCCACAGGTAATGGATTATATGGCCATAGTAGTGGAGTACCTTTAGCCAAGGAAGGTCAGGAATTTCAGAAAGTTTCGCTAATTTTAATTTAAGGATACATTGTCTTTCAACCTTTACACAGGTTTGTGGGTGGTAAGGAAGCATAGTTTTTGAGAACAGGTAACATTACATGTTCTTTTCCTATGTCAGCAGAAATTTTAGCCCAGAAGTATAGGGTCAAGATCTTTATGTGGTAAGTATATATCAAGAATGGGGGGAGAAGGCAAAGGTATATAGAGAGCAGATACAATGTGATTGTGAATACAATCCTCTGAAACTTCTAGAAATAGTCTCTCTGGTGTACATTTAATGATACAATTACAGCCAGACGTGGTAGTTAACACCTATAATCCTGACACTCTGGAGGCAGGGCAGAAGGATTGCTTGAGGCCAGGATTTTGACACCAGCCTGTACAAGAGCAAGACCCTGTGTCTACAAAAAATAAAAATTAGCCTGATGTGGTGGCACACACCTGTAGTCCAATCTACTCAGGAAAGGCTGAGGCAGGTGGGTCACTTGAGCCCAGGAGTTTGAGGTTGCAGTGAGCTATGATGACTTCACTGCACTCTAGCTATCGTGACATAAGGAAGTGGCTCAAAAAAAAAAATACAATTCCACTTGTAAAGCTATCTCTCTCCATTAAATTTATAGGAGGTGTATCACAGAGCAGAAAGAAATGTTTTCCAGTAAAGGGTCCAAGGGTTAATGTTAAGGACTGAAGACAGGGAAATCTATGGGTTATTTAATACCTATTACTCATATGCTATGTTTGATCCAAGAAGAATTTGAGTAAGATGACAGAGTATAACACAGAAAGATTAGTGTTGTCAGAGGAATTTTTCTAGTCTATCCCCAAATCTCCCATAATTAAATGTTTTTTGTTTGTACCTTGTTTGTATATTTGAATTATGGTACCAATCAACTTTATTGGAAACGTTTCAGGTATATATCTTTCTAAAACTTTGACCCACTATTCTGGTTTTTGTGTTTTGGTTAGGGTTTTTATAACCCTTAGTTTTAGTGTGGAAAGAAGAATCCTGTAGGTCCTTTTCTGGGTCAGTCACAATCAGCTTTTGCCATCCAGCATTTAGCATCTGAGATTCCAACCAACATATTTACAAGTTATATAGGTCAGGCATTCCTGGGTCGTATGTACCCAAACAAATTCCAAATTCTCCAATGAATATTTACTCTTTTTCGGGAGGTTAGGAAAGCTTTAATATAGCTCTTAATTTGTCTTGGGTCCAAGGTTAAATTTTATAGTTGCCTGCTACCTGGATCATGGCAGGGATGGATCCTTAGAAGTAAATGGCATTTTGGGTTTTAGGAGAGTTGTTCGGAAAAGGTAGGAGGTCTGGACAAGGGGAAGACAGGAAAGGAGGTGCATAAGGAGAGAGATCAGAAGGATAGGGAGAATAAGGAGAACTGTTTGCAGCAGGCAACGGAAAGCAAGAAGGAGTAGGATTACTATGGAAATTAGTCTACTTTGCTGTTTAAGTTTGTAAATTGTCATTAGCTTTAACTAAAGAATCTTTTAGTAAAGCAATTTTTGAATCAGAATTTAATTTGGAGTCCTCTGCATACAATCAAAATGTTACCCACTGAGTCTGAGAAAATCATATTAAAGACACTTTCTTTCCTAAGGTGTCTTTCAACAAACATTTTTCAAGTCCAATGTTCCCAACATGGCTACTGAAGGCAAAATCATCTTTGGTGAAGTTATGTCATTAAGAGAGAGAGAAATAAGAATTAGGATTGCAATGAGTGTACATATAAGAAAGAGGAGTTTTCCTGGAGGAATAGAAAAATCAGATTTCATCAACCTCAGAATAGCTGGCAACAGTCAGTTGAAAGTGAAGCTTGTGTACTTTGCACCTTGAGACCCCAACTTGATGATTAGTTACCTCTAAATGAAGACCTGACAACATATGACCTCAGGAGGTAGAAACTCTGTGAATCAAAACCAAACTCTCAGGACAAAAATCTAGATGGGAAGATAATCTTATGTAATTGTATTGTGGCCCACAGCAAAGTTTATCTGAATGAATGCCAGTTAAGTGCCTATGCCTCTGTTCTACTATGTGGCAACACTTCTAGATAGCACAACACAAAAAGAAGCAGAAAATAAAGCAAACAGATATGAAAAGGATGGCTGACTCCACGAAAGATGCCAACAAGTGGGATTGATAACAAAACCAGGTACCAAAGTGACACTACATAAACAAAGAACTGGAAAGCAGAGAGAGCAGAGTTCAGACCCAGTGCTGGCCTAACATGTCAATGTAAACTCCACAAGCTACATGCAGCAAGGCACAAGGACACCAGTGTATACCGCACCTGGTAGAGAACTGGAGTCCATGGTGACAGGCAGTGCAGACAGTATCTCTTTGAAACCTTCAGGAAACTACAAAAATAAATGAGATCATCAAGTGAACAGAGCTATTTTATTCAGAACTTGCTATAGCAAGGAAGTTAGCCACCATCGCTTTGTTTGGCAGAGACTCAAATATAGACAGGAGAGTGAAAAAGTTTATAGTGAGATAAGGGGAAATTTTCAAGTATTCTCCAATTGGATCTTGATGTGGAAGGCTGGAGGCAAGCCAGCCATATGCAGGGCATTTTATGGTCTGGGAAACATATCTGGCTTCCTCTGATTGATCTGAGTTGGAAGCAGGGTCAAAATTGGGGAACTGACTCATTGACCAAGTCCTAACTGTTCTGACCATTTGCTGCAGAAGATTTGGTTTGACTTCTGGACTGGTTGCTGCTAAGGTTGTAGTTTGGCTTCCTGAGCTGATGCTGCAGAATTTGTGGGTCAGATTTCTATCACCATTAACCATCTGGCCTTGCCCGTTTATATGTTCAGTCCCTCACAGTAGAATCTTGGCATTGTAGATATTAAAAACTCTGCCTCGAGGACCGTATTTTATTTCTTAGCAACTGAACTGGCAGTTATATAATAACAACATTTGCTCCTACAAACTTTAAACTTTTTAATATACTTTCAATTGCATTTTCCCTTTTTATCCTTACAACCTTGTGATCCGGTAAGGTTATCACTTAAGGTCACTCAACAAATTTGTGTTAGAATCAGGGTAAGATAATAGTAAAGAGTGATTTGTAATATATAACTCAAATTGTTTGTTATAATATCACCTACAATGACTTTGAAATAAATATCGTAGTTTTATATTATATAAAGGATCTGTTCTAATTGCTTCTAACTTAGTTGCTTAAAGTTGGGATAAAACATTGAAGCAAGATCAAATACCTAGAAGGCTATCATGTGAAGAAGGATTAGGTTTATTCCTACGACTCCGGAGGGCAGAACTAGCATAAAGTGAGTGGAAAGGGACACATTCAACTAATAATGTGAAATATCTTTCTAATAATGAGACACTTGCCCTCAAAAGAAAGCCAGTTCCACATCTCTTATGTGTTTAAGTAGAACTACATGATCCTATATCTCTAGAGAGTCCAGGAATTGCCACATAGCTAACCTCAAAGACCTTCATAAATTTCAAGTTTATGAGATTTTGTTAAACTTTCAAAGGAGGCATAGACATTTTCAATACAGCAGTTTAAGTCATTCGATTCTGAACGAAATTATTATTAATTGTAGGAATTTGATGGCTAAAGACAAAACAAACCCAACTTCTTTCAAAAAGTAAGTACTAGAATTTTAATCTGCAATCTTAAGTCTTTGAACAAGATCTTTTTCTTCTTTGTGGTTTCTTTTTAATGTTCCTTCAAGTCACAATTACATTTTTCTAGTGTACAAATAACTTGAAGCTAAAATAAAGCAGTGTGTCCTCTTGACACCTAAATTGTGATTTTTTTAATGTTCTCCAAGGATTTCCACTAGATCCTTTTCTCACCTTACTCCTTACCCCTCTTCATCTGTTTAATCTAATCCCTAATTTTTGCCAGACGGGTACTTCTCTTTATTATGTACTATGGTTTCTGGTGTTTTAAAACAATTTATAATGCTCAGGATTTTTTCAGAATCTGGAAGAAGTCATTACAAGAGATAAAGTAGGCAAGAGACTGGGATGGAAAGAAATGCCTCTGCGTAAATCTAGTTATTCTGAGTCCTCTTGACAACTTCCGGGACCAGACTTGAGGGGGTGCTGGAAATTGTTCTCTTTACATATCTTTTTTTTTTTACTGTCCATATTTACACACATACACATATGGCGGGGAGCGAGAAAGTGATGACGCGAGGCTCTCCTTGGAGAACGGGAGGTAATAAGGAAATGAAACAGGTGTCTGAGAAGGGCTCCGACTAGAGAAGGGAGAATAGAGATAGTCATCATTCATCCAGACCCGCCAGAGTTCTCTGCAGGTAGCAGCCTGGGCAGGCGAACTCGTAACCCTCCTGGGGGACAGGCTCTTTTGCTTCCTATTTCTTCGCCTGCAGCCAGGGTGCACGTTTATTGGAAACGGACCGAATGTCTTCCTCGATGTCTGGTCAGGTTGACGCTGCGACTAGTGGATATTTCTTTTTAATGTCTCCAGCGCCTTTTCTGTTATTGCCGTTGTGGAGCGTGAGGGGAAGAGACTGGTCGAAATTCTGGCGTGGTAAGTGGGGGAGTTCTGGGCGATGAAAAGGGGACATAGAAGCCGGAGGAACAGCAGCAGCTCCCCACCCCACACTCGCGCCTGCCCGCTGTCCCCGGCGACCTGCAGTGCAGACCCGCAGGCAGCATCAATATTTGATCGGCTCTTCGTCAGCGCGCTGCCGCCCTCACTCGCGGGGCTGCAGGCACCGCCCGGCCGCGCGAAGCGACACCCGGCCGGCCCCGGCTTTGGAGCACCGGCCCGGCGGTGGCTCTGCCTCGCGCCCGGGCGCGCGCCCACCATGCGCGGCGGCCCGCGGCTCGCGCTGCTCTGCGCGCTGCCTGGCTCCTGCGCGCCGCGGCGCCCGGGCGACCCGCGAGGCCCGGGGAGCAGCCCCCAGCGCCGCGCCGCGACCCCGGCGACCCTGCCAGGGGCGCCGATTTTGATCACGTCTACAGCGGGGTGGTGAGCCTCAGCACCGAGAACATCTACTCCTTCAACTACACCAGCCACCCCGCCAGGTAAGACATCGCTCCCCCTTCGCTCGACTCCTAAAACTTGCGGGATTTCAGAGCCCCGCGCTGCTCTGGGTTCCCCTGGGGATCGACCTTGGGAGACCTCAGGGTCTGGGGGAACCCTGTTTTCCTTTCCCCTCCAAAGCAATCACTGCCCTGCGTCCGACCGCTGCGCAACCAGCCTCAGGGACAACTCCGCTTCACCTGTCGCCTCCCCTGTCCTGGTCGCCGGCATCTCTGGGCATTGCAGGGTCACTAGTTAGCCCGCACTGTCTGCGGGTCCTGGCTCCCTGCTGGGCCTTTCTCTAGGAAAGTCTCTATTTCTGGAGATTCGGGATGAGGTGGGGAGGAGGAGACCGCACCTCTGTTCCTAATCCCATGCAGAGAAGGAACCTCATTTCATTTGGATGATTCAGCCAGCCCCTTGCATTAATGCAG